TACATTTCTAGTGCGTTGGAACACCTACGAACCGATGCCGAAAATTACAATGAATCTGTCATCGTCTTCTAGGGAAATTAACCTACGAATATGTTTATCATGAATTTGCATACGAAATGAAGATCTCCACATAAAATTCACCAAAGCACATTCCATCCCCCTCGCATAATTTCCCATTTACCTAGTAGACAATGTGCGAAATGATAAGTACGTCAGGTTTAATCAAATATAGGACATGATTGAGATTGACGTGCTCATCTGTAATGTTCTAAAAAATTTCAACGCTTCTTTAATGAACAAAAGTAGATTTCTGTAGTTTTTGTTCATAAGAAGAATTTCAAACTATCAGTAAATCAGTTATATGAGATGTATTCACTCCATTTCGTTTAAGGTGGTGAATGAAGTCGTTGAATTTTCCCATATGATTAGAGTTGCTTATAAACGAAAAATTAGTAATGTAGTCGATTGTTATAGAAAATATAACTTTGCTTCATCGTCACCCCCCTCCCCCCTAAAGAATATTGGAAAATGCCTGGCCTTGGAATTCACATCAGCCCAGTGACCAAAGGATACTCGTTCCAATGTGGCAAAGTGGTTAACGTGTCGAGCTTACTGCACTGTCATGATTCGACTCCAGCTTAGGGCGCTAATAAAACATGTGCAAGGTTATGTGAAATTTAATGTAAACGTCAGCTTTACTCATATCAACTACCAGTTCCATCACCTTAACGAAATAGGGTGAATACATCTCATATAATCTAGTTGAAGATCTGATAAGGAGTATAATTATCTTTTAGTGTAAATTCAATTATTCGTTCTAATGAACGAGATAATATGCATACACACACACATATATATATATATATATAACAAAGAGGGAACGGGATTGAAGGGAAGTAAAAATCAAACATAAATAGGACAAATTTAACATGACTTATGAGGAAATTCTTACCCTATTAATGACATCGGGATTTGAAGGAACTTTTACAGGAACAATGTCAGTAAGAAGACCTTTTTCAAACGCCTGCTTAGCCAATTGGTGTGACCTAATGGCATAGTCATCTTGTTCGCTCCTTGAGATACCAAAAGCAGCGGCAAGCCTATCGCCAGAATGACCCATTGTTTCATTGCTGGAAAATTCCGCAACTGCAGGAAGCTCAGGCATCCAAATCGATTGATCGAACAGGCGACCAACTAAGGACAGACTCTGACTAAGGGTTTTTGCCTATATAAAAAAGTGTCAGATTTTCTCGCAAAATAAAAAACAAGGCAGCAAGGATTGGAAGAATAATAAGGATTACGTAAAATAAAGCAAATCAGAGCTAGTGTGCTTTGCTATCAATCATACTCAATGTTCTAGGGACAATAGACAATAGCGCAATGAGTATGATAAGCTAAGCTATCTTAGGATATAGCGAGCAAGCAATTCGAGGGTACCTTGTTCATTTCAAGCATAAATCCACGCATCTTCCTGCTGTGACGTATAGGAACATCAGACATAA